GGAAGAGAAGATAAATAAGTTGAACGAGACAGCCATGACGAAATACGAGATGAACAACATCATAGACAAGCTGAGGGTCGAGCTGGATATAAGGTCGCACTGCTATCCTCCACGAGACATGGCCTTGCTACGGCTGCAGCTATCTTCGCGGCTGTGGTGGGCAACGTGCCACATGCGACTTCCTTCGAATCTGCTGTGGAGTGGGCCGTTTCTCTATGCCGTAAAAGCGATATTCCACCGCCTCAAGCCAGGGAAATGTATTGCAAGAGCGAGTTCAGGAACGTATTCTTTATCACATTCCCCTCCAACCTCGCTCGCCAGATATTGTTGGTTGCAGTCGACGCGTTCGCAAAGACTCAATCCAAGGATGCCCGGGCCACCGTCTGGGCAAAACCAGACCTCCCCATCGACGTCCGCATTAAGCACAGCGTCCTTTTCGGACTGCGCCGTGTGCTTGCCACTTGGGGCTACAGCAAAGGGTGCATCAAAGTCGATGTCGACGGGCTTACGCTGACGGTAGCAGGAACTACTGTCGCTAATGTGGAGATCGAAGACTACAAGTTGCAAGTGGCCTGGGTTGACAAGGAATGGAAGGCATGGGAGCAGCTGCAGTCTGCAGAAAAGCTCACTGAGATCACCTCCGACACCCAGGCGAAGCTCGACAAAGCGAAGGCTCTCTCCGAGACCGACGGGAAGGGGAATGGCCCGGGATCCCATTAGGGGTCACAACGGTGCGTAGACAGAGGCTGCATTTCACAACTCGCGGCGGAGAGCGGCGAGGAGGCGGACTTGCACGAAGATGCGGGCCGCCAAAGTTTTGACGATTTTGTTTATAAGTTCGTGGAGTATTGACGGTATGACGGACTTGAAGGGGGGCGAGATTTGCAGATACATGCGTGCAACTGCTATCGATATTATGTGCTTGCAGGAGACGCACAAGCCGAATTCCGACCATTATGCGACAGACGAGGGCTTCTTGGTGATTCTCTCGGGCGCTGCGGGGGCCGATCGTGAATATGCCAGGGTGGGTTTCGTGGTTGCCTCGCATGAAGAACATGCACCGCGCTCGCATCTATGCCCCTGGGTGGGTGTATGTGCGGCCGTTTTTGCGCTGTCATGTGCGCGCATGTGCGCACACTTCCGGACCGCAATTTCAAAGGGAGCACTATAGAAGTGAGCGCTATAGAAGTGAGTCCGGTGTAATCTGTGGCTGTTAGAAGTTGGACGGCCGCATCGCTGCGATGAAGATGCGGACAGCTGGTGGGTGGATTACGTTGTGTACCAGGGCTAAACCTGAACGCTGTTTTGCTGGACTTCGGCTGTGTTTCGTTTTTCGTTTAGGCAGGGGGGTGCTGGAAAAATGGCAAAAATCAAAACGAACACAAAACGAATACAAAACGACAAACAACGTTTAGGTCCAGACCTGTTGCGTGCCGTGTACGCTCCACGCATCGAGAGACCCACAGAGGAGAAACTAGATTTCTACGACCGGCTTCAGAGACGAGGTGCAGGCTTAATTCAATATGGACCTAGATATTTCTTTGGCGACTGGAGCGCTCGACTTTGCCAGCGGCGCGCCGGCGAAGAAAACATAGTGGGCGACCGCGCGTTTGGGCGTGAAGCGAGGATGAAGGTCGACCTCCCCAACGGGGATCTGTTCGCGGAGTTTTGCATGGATTTCGAGTTGCTCGTGGCGAATACGTTGTCTCAGCACCCCGTGGAGCGCAGAGCATCCTACCGCGAACCGGCGGTGTGACCTGCCAGCCCTACTATTGACGTCGGCTTCAATATGCTGGATCTTCTTGTGGCGCCTGCTGCTCGGGAGGGCGATTTGATAGGCGTCAGGAGCGATGCGTCGGCAACGCTGGCTTCTCACTGTTTCCTGGCCCATGCCGCAATCGTGGCGGGCGCGCCAGTAAGGGCATGAACTCGTTCGTCAAGCCGGCCGAAACACTGCAGTCCTTCGTTCGCCGTCAGGAAGACGCGCGCTCACGAAAGCAGTTCGGCAATGCCTTGAAAAACCTACAGTTGAGGTTGCCTTGACGCATAGATGGAGGTCGTCCTCGGCGCCTGGCATGGCCGCCGCAGACGCCGCAGTCCGGGACATGCAGCACAAGCCGAACATGCCTTGGATCTCCGGACGCACTCTTGGACTCATCGCTCAACGCCAGCAAGCGCGAGCAGCTGCCGACTTGGGCGCCGAGCTTCGATTGAGAAAGTCGGTGAAGAAGCCCGCCAAGCAAGATCGCACCAAGTGGCTCGAGAACCTGACGGCCACCGGGGACCGGGGTAGCATCGAGAAGACATCGAAGCGCAACGGCCGGCCTCAGGGAAGGCTCCATAACAATGAAAGCGCGCCAGTTGCGACCGACGAGCGCGCGGGGACTCTCGCCGAACACCTCGGCAACATCCAGCGGCGCGTCCGCCGAGCCACCCTCGCGCCCGACATGGGGAATTCGATTTACCCGTCGATGAACATGAACCAGGACAGCTTCGCAGACGCGGAACTCCGCGGGGCGTTAGAGAAGCTCCGCGCAGGAAAATCTTGCAAGGGAGACGACGTCCCCGCAGAGGTGTATACAGCTCTTGCTGCCGTGCCAGGACAGTTGCACTGGTTGTTGGACATGTGCGACATGGCGTGGGCATCGAAATCATGGCTGGGCGATTGGTGCGAATCCCACGTCAGTTTAGGGTTCAAAAGGGAGGCCCGGCGAGTTGCGACAATTGCCGGCCAGAATCTCTGTAATGCGTCGCAATGAAAGTATTCTCGGCTATGCTCAAAGAAGGACTCCTGGGCGCCGGCGTGGGCGAGCGATTCTTGGCGCCCCAGCCTGGATTTCGAACGGGGCGCAGCGCAGAGCGCGCTATCTTTATCGCCCGGAGGCGCATTGACGCGGCCAGTGCGCAGAAGGAGGAGCTGGCACCGCGGTTGCTCTTCATGAGAAGAAAGCTTCCGACAGTATTCGCATCGAAAGCCTGATCGACGCTATGCGAAGGCTGAGCGCCCCGTCGGACTTGCGCGAGATGGCCCGCGCGATGATGGTGCAGGGGATGTTCGTGGTGCGAGAATGTGACGGCCAGTCCGATCCTAGACCGCAACTTTCTGGCATCTAGCAAGGGTGCACCCTGGGCCCTCTGTTGTTTGTCCTTGTGGTGACCGTGCTCCTACACGACGCTGTCGCGTTGCTCGCCGGCGGCGCCGAGGGGGCGCGTGATGATGGCGAACTATGCAACTGCATATGCGCAGGCGATGCGCAATGCGCTCCTTTGTCGGGCCAGACGACGCGCGCCTCAGCGAGTATCTGCGCGCCATCGCATGCGCGGGCAGACGGCTTGGGATGAAGCTGTATTGGGCTAAGTTCCAGCTTCTCGCAGCGCGGTCGAGAGGAAACGCGTCGGCCCCGGGCGGCGCGCCGCTCAAACAGGCGCAGCATCTACAATGCCTCGGAGCACACCTTTCGGCAGATGCAGACATGGGGCGCGAGCTGGGCCGAAAAGTAGTCGCAGCGCCGCGGACGGCGTCGTCGCATTTTGCCTCGACTTGGCCGCGGGAGCTACGCATGTATAGTCCTATTGTTGAATCCAAGCTCCTGGGCGGCTTTGCTGAAGTGTGCTTGGCCAAGTCGCAGCTGCGGCGGCTGGGCGGGTTTCAGAACTGGTGCGTCAGGCAAATTATCGGTGTCCGCCTGTCGTGGATTCCACGAATGTCAAACCTCGACGTCCTGGCCCCTGCAAACCGCGCCCTGGCGCGCAGGTAGTTACTCCGCAAGCGCATGGCCTGATTCGGTCATGTGCTGCAAGCAGATTCGGGTCGCCCTCTCAGGACGTGCGCGTTCGCCGCCTGCTCCCTGGCCCCCCTGGCGGCCGCTTCAACGAGGAGAGTTGGCAGGCCGCGCAAGGAGTTCACTCTGGAAATGCCGCGCGTTTCCCAGCACATTTTCAGTAGCGCGATCGCAGCTCAGCGCGCGGCGAGGCATTATCAGCGCACTTCCGAGCGATCTGTGCGCAACTTTCTATAGGTTCAGGCGCAGTCTTCCTTGCTTGCGCTTAGCTCAGTCCACGCGTCGCGCGGTGTTTCATGTACAAGTGCCAGACGTCCTTTCTTTGGGCGGCCTTTAGGCCGCCCGTTGCAACAGTCGTCTTCCGCTTCGAGCAGGGGGGCCCCTTCCGGAGCGTCGTCTCCGTGACGTGCTTCCGGTATGTGCGAGCCCAGAAGCGCCTCATCTTCGTCGCAGACAACCTTATGAATTAATTCGGATGTGCGTAACTCACCGACCTGCTTTTCAGCGGATTGGAGGCTCACGTGGATATTGCTCAAACCGTGGGAGTGTGACCCCCAAGCTGAACGAATTCCCTTTGCCCACGAGCAATTGCATGGACGACATGGCGAGAAGGTGTGGGCAAAGAAATGTGTCTGAGAGCATGGTGGGATGAGGGCTGCAAGGAAGGAAGGGAACACGATGCACATGCAACAGGCTTATAATGTCTGCTAGCTTGGGCTCCGCGCCCGTCCGTTCTGACGCTTCAGTGCGCGATCTGCTCCAGCCCACTCCCGAGTCAACGTGTGAGCAACCCCGGGGCGAACGCTGCACGTGCGCCATCTTTTTCTGCTGAAGCGGATTTCCATACGATTTGTAGGCCCTTGTTTCTCGAGTCTGCTTCGTGCCGGCTTCCATAATGAGTTTTTTTTTTTTCATGTAAGTTTGCATCAGGCCTACGCTGCGCTGCTAGCCTCTATCCATGTTTACCCATGTGTCTACGAGTGTGCTGACTAATCCCTGTCGTCTTCATTGCCTGCTGTTATTCTATGCTCCTGCTGTGATATGACATCGCTCCTTTCCGTGCCAGAACCTGAGCGTGCGACTCGCGCATGGTTCTAGTGTGCATGCATCTGACAATGTACGGTGAGGCCTGGGGTGGGCGCGAGGTCGTGGTCGCGTGGCGCGCGCTGTCGACTCCCTCCCGCCCAGCTTGGCCCCCCCCCCCCCCACCCCACGAAGGTCACGCCGCCAGGAAAATCTGCCTCTTCGAGGACACCGTCCGAGGCAGAAGGTTTCCACCAGAGGGGAGGCAAGGGAGGTGAGGTGACGGGTGGTGGGCAACAAGGTGAAGGGGGTAGATCACGGAGGGAGGAGGTTACAAAAAGGTGAGGCGAGGGGATGGGGAGGACGGGAGGTGGATTGGTGGGTGGGGGGAGAAGGGGGGAGGTGACTGCATGGAAAGGGAAGAAAGGTGAGTGGAAAGCAGGTCTGTTCCTCTTCCGCTTTTGTTTTCTTCGTCCTCCCTCACGTCCCCTCTCTCCGTCTTCTTTGCATCGACCCCGGTTGCTGGATACTCATGACGGATGGCAGGTGTAATGCTTTGGTTGAACAGCATGGGGTTTTGTGCGGGAATGAAGGGGGACACGGACAAGGATGGGGGTTTGGGATTTGGACCATCAAGGGAAAGGCGGGGAGAAACGGATAGGGGAACACGATGGTACGATGCTTTAGGTTTTATTATGGGGGGGAGAATGGGGACAGCTGGTTAATGAGGGACAAAAGATGGATGGGGGAGGATGATGTGGGAGGGAGGGATGAGGAAGGAATGAGGGATGGCAAAACGGGTAAAAAAGGTCGGGATGTGAGCGAAGGAAGGTGAGTGAGACAGGGAACGAGATCAGATATGTATACCGAAAAGACCACTCTCCGACGGGTGATATGGAGATTTTGAGAAGTTCGGCGTCATCTTTGATGTGCATTTGGCAGGCACGTCAACTCACGAGTTGGCACACATCGAAACATCAACATGGACATGTGCGTTTATATTATGGTCAATTGTTCGTATATCTACGTATGTGTTTCTCTTTCTCTCTGGCTCCCAGTGTATCTATATTTACAGATCTGTATATATGTATGGCTGCTCACCATGTACCCATGATGTACCGATATGTCCATATCTCTTTATATGTATATCCGTATACATATACGCCTCGGTGTCTGCCTAGACACCATGCGTTCAAACAGGGCTGCTTCACAGGGCTGTTAACTGTTAGAAAGCTTGAGACGCTGCCAGGAGTTGCTCAAGGCTCATGGTGCTTTGTCCGGATTACGCATATCATGTATCAACGGGTGTTGCTATCTACAGGTCTCAATCTCCATCGATCGGTTTTATTCTGTTCTGCTGCTGTTTTGCAGTTGTTTCCATGGTTTCCCCCTCGCAGTACTTGCACCTTGGGGTTCTTGCCTGTCTTGCAAGGGACCTGGTTGGCCTACCTCTCTTGGTGACCGCCCCGTGGCCGCCCGTGGCCGCCCAGCGTAGCTTGCACCACATGTCTTGGTCCACGTAGCTTGCACCGCACAGCATGCACCAATTGAAACCAATGTGGAAATCCCAACCATCAAATTCAACTTGGAGGTTTCCACAGTTAAGATCAATTTGAAAAGCCCCACAACCAAATTCAATTCGTAATTCCCCACAGCGGAATTCAATTTGTAACCCATTTGCAAAACGAATGCCGCTCGTATAAGAAGAAAACAAGGGTGAGGTGATTACAGGGGTGTGTGACCATATATGTATGTATGTATATATATATGGATATATTTATATGTGTATATATTTATATATGTATGTATGTGTGTATGTATGTATGTATGTATGTATGTATGTATGTATGTGTATATATATGTATGTATGTATGTATGTAAGTATGTATGTATGTATGTATGTATGTATGTATGTATGTATGTATATATATATATATATATATATATATATATATATATAGATATATGTATATACATATGCGTTGTGGCATCGTCTCCTTAATGCCATCCTATGCGCTTTCCAAGCAGCCAGGCGAGGATGTTCCACGGAGCCGCCCGGGGCCGCCTCCTTCGTGCGCCGCGCGGGTCCCGCGCGGTTTCGCCACGCTGCCGCCCGTGGGCGCCCCGTGGCCGCCTCGTGCGCGGGGTGGGTCGGACGAGGCTTCGCCACGTTGCGGCCCGTGGCCGGCCAGAGTTCGCCGCGCGGTCGCCCGTGGGCGCCGCGGGCGCGCTCGCGGGCGCCCTCGTCAGCGCTCGGTGGGTCCGCCGAGGTCTCGCTCGGTGCCCCGCCGTGGGCGCCCAGCAGGCGCCCGGCGTCCCGGGTAGGCAGCACAGCTTGCGCAATGTAGTTTGCACCGCATGGGGATGACCATCGGGACAGCCATCCAGATAGCCATCGTGACAACCATGGGGACAACCATCGGGACAGCCATCCCGACAACCATCCGGACAAACACAGGAACAACTTTTGGGCAACCAGTGGGACAGCCAGCGGGACAATCATCGGGACAAGTATCGTTCGGAAGCTGGAGCACGTACACTACCCCTGGCGGGCGGCTGCTCCACCCGTGGACTTTTTGTGGAAGGTCGGGGACGACGTCGGGGTGGTGTGGTGTATGCTTTTGTTCCCCGTCTTCCTGGGGAAACAACGGGTGTATGCACCAGGATCCCGTATACCAGGATCCGCTTTCCTGTGCGAGATTCAGTGTGAGGCCAGACAAGGGCGTCGGTGTATAGAGTTCGGTTCCCTAATCGGGACAATCATCGCGACAACCATCCAAGCAAACATATGAACAATTTTTGGGCAACCAGTGGGACAGCCAGCGGGACAACCGTCGTCCCACGGCCAGGCCAGGGGCGCCTTTTTCTTCGTCTCGCCTCGCCCGCACGCACGTCACGCACGAATCGAGACGATTTCCTGGTATGAGTACCTCTTGTTTCACTTCGGTTTCACCCCCCACCCTCCAACTATGTTATGTATGTGTGAAGTATGTATCCGTAAGGACTTCGCCCCATGCCGCCGGCCCCCTGTCTCAGATAATGCGAGATGCAAAAGCTAAATCATGAGGTCTGGGCGCCGCCGTGAAGCAGTGTCGGGACCTGTTTGTTTTTCGACCCTGACCCTAGATCTGCGTGAGGGGTGCCGAATTTTTAGAAATGTGGCAAATCCCATGTGTTTTGAACCCTGATCCTGCCGATCTGCGTGAGGGGTGCTGCCGAATTTCAGAAATATGGCACATCCCCTTTGTTTTTGGACCCTGACCATGCCGATCTGCGTGAGAGGTGCCGCCGAATTTCAGAAATATGGCAAATCCAACGGATTTTTGGACCCTGACCCTGCCGATCTGCGTTAGGGGTGCCACCGAATTTCAGAAATGTGGCAAGTCCCTTGTGTTTTTGCACCCTGACCCCGCCGATCTGCGTGAGGGGTGGCAGCAAATTCCAGAAATGTAGCAGATCCCGTGTGTTTTTGGACCCTGACCCTGCTGATCTGCGTGAGGGGTGGCAGCAAATTTCAGAAATTTGGCAAATCCCGTGTGTTTTTGGACCCTGACCCCGCTGATCTGCGTGAGGGTTGGCAGCAAATTTAAGACATGTGGCACATCCCGTGTGTTTTTGGACCCTGACCCCGCCGATCTGCGTGAGGGGTGGCAGCACATTTAAGAAATATGGCAAATCCAAAGTGTTTTTGGACCCTGACCCCGCCGATCTGCGTGACGGGTGTAAATTTTTACCCACCCCAGCAATTCAGACAACACGCTCAGGGCGTTGTAAAAATGCCCGTTTTGGGCCTCCCCCCCCTCGCGCGGTCCATCAACAAGGCACAGTAAGCAGCAAGAAGCAGAACTGTAACAGTGGAAACTGGAAGCTGCAACTGGTAACAGAAACTGCGAACCTTCGGCCTACAGCCTGGTGGCCCCGCAAGGGGGCGGGCGGATATTGTACGCGTTTCTGTTTGTGAATACCTTGTGCGCTGTATACCTATGTGTGCGCAGTTGTACACATACACGTAGACTTGCAGAGTAATCGAGAGAGGGGGATAGGGAGAGAGAGAGAGAGAGAGAGAAAGAGAGCGAGACAGGGCGCTATGTATACATATGGGGGAGAGAGAGAGAGAGAGAGAGAGAGACAGGGAGAAAGAGAGAAAGAGAGAGAGAGAGAGAGAGATATAGAGAAAGAGGGAGGGAGCGATGCAGGGATGCAGGGACCACCCCGCAGACCCAGGCGGGCCGGTGCGCCTCCGCGCAGGGGCCGAGTTTCCACGGGGCAGCACCCTCCCCCCCAAGCAGCGGGCCTGGCGGGGCCACGCCCGAGCGGCGCTCCACCAGCCACGCGCTGAGGGGGGGCCGCCGGGCAGCCCCTCCCCGGGGGGCTCAGGGTTGCCAGGGGCAACGTTCCCAGACCCGACCCCCTCGACTCATGAAAAAATCAGGACGGGTGACGTTTCACCATTTTCGGCCTTTGGGGGCCCTTGTCGGGCCTCGGGACCGTCAGAAAACGACTCGGGATGAGAAGCCCGTCCCTGGGAGTTGGTCGATACTCCTGGGGGTCGACGTTGCGAACAACTCATGGCGGCGGAGGGGTGGTTTGGGAGGGGAAAGGCTCGAAGGGGGGGGGGTGGGCGGGAAACGCATCGACCCCCATTCGTCGTCGGCAGGGGCCCGATCGCTCGCCACGGGGCCGAGCGACGCAGGGAAGAGATACAGTTTTTTGGTCGGCGGGTCGGGAGCGGGCCCCTTCTGGTTAAGAGCTAGGCGGGGCGCGCGAAGCACTAATTGGGGAGACAGGGCGCGGGCGGGCGGGGCCTCAGGCGGCTGGGGGGTGCAGGGAAGAAATACAGGCGGCCCGGATTAGTAGGTCGGCCCTGCCAGGTCAAGGGTACCCTCGTGTCCTGTGTCTGGCGACCCATGCTTCCTGCAGTTCTGTGGCAGCGTGGCCCCCGGAAGGGTCTTGTGTCCTCTCGCGTGGCCTCTCCAACCGAGTCCGGCTGTGGGACGGAGGGAGGGAGAGATGGGGGAAGCGGTCGATTGTCGCGTCGCTGCCGCGCCGCCGCGTTCTTCTCGGCCGCCTCTGGCAGGCTCGGCTTCGGCCTCGGCTCTGGCTCTGCGCTCGGCTTCGGGCGGTCTCCGGTCCCGCGGGCCGCCGCGGACGGCCCTCTGAGAGCCCTTCGTCGGTGCCATGGCCGGCAGGCCGACGGGCCGTCGGCAAACAGTGGTCGGGCCCATGGCCGGCAGGCCAGGCTCGCGCGCGCGCGGGCGTCTGGTCTCGGCGTGGGCGGCGCTCGCGGAGGGGGGCGCTGGGAGCACCCCGAGGTCTGGGCCCCCGCCCGGGCCCCGAGGGCGGCGGGAGCTCCGCGCGCAGCGGCGCAATCCGATGCGGCTCGGCCGAAGTCTCGGCGGGCGCTTTCGTCCTCTGAGCCAGCTCGGCGAACCTGCACGGGCACGGCGGCGAGGTGGGGCTGTACAGTAGAGCGGCGAAGCCGGAATCTCGCAATTCCCACATCAACCGGTCTGCATTGGCCCCGGTCCCCGCTCGTTCAGGGTGTCCTCCAGCATGCCCTCCTTCGCTCCGAGGGTTTTGTGCGCTGCAGCTCGCACTCTCTGGCACCATTGGCGCCCGAGCGTGGCAATGGCCCGGGTTGCCCTCGGCAAGGAATTTACTCCCCAATCTGCAGATGCCTGGTGAAGGTGGAACGTCGACCGCTGCAGCAGTGACAGCCTGCGGGAGGTCGGAAGGAAAGATGTCGCCCTCCCTTGAGAGGGGCCAGCGCTGGGTTGCCCAGGGTCCCCTGGGTCGGGCATGCTGTGGTGGGGCCCCCTGGGCCCCGCGACAGGTGCAAGTTTGGCGAGAGGTGCCACGACAAGCACCTCGACACCTGTCTGGAGGCGGACTTCAACGAGTTTACCCAAGCGAGCGCTCGGCACCCGCGGAGACAAGAGCATTGCCCAGGCGCCCCCCCCCTCCCCCCGAAGTCCCGACCCTTTCCCCCGGGCCAGCATCTGACGGTCCCAGGGCCGGGCGAAGGCCCTCAGAGTTTGAAGACGGGTTGACACCGTCCGCCGTGGTTTGTAAGTAAATAGTTAAATTGCGAATTTGCGTAAAAAACGGATACAAAATGGCAACGCGTGGAGCTTTTTGTTTTTTTTGATCTCTTCGCAACGAGAGGAGGCCTGAGGTCTGCGTCGTCCCCCCCTGCTCCGCCGACAACGTGAAGCCTCCGTGCCGATTTTGTTCAGAGCCTCGGGGAGAATCCTGTGGGGTCGGGGCCGCCCCAGTCGCCGAAGGGCGGCAGAAGGCACGCAGTTCGGCAGCCTGCACGTTGGAGCCCCCTGCGCTTGGCATCGCTCGGACGTGTGCATTTTTCCATCGGCAGGACCATCGAGGAGCATCCTTGATCATTTCGTGAAAAAACCATGCACGAAATCGAAAAAAGCACAGGAAATGGACGTCCGAGCGATGGCCAGTGCGTCACCACCCTCTAAACCACCCCAACCCAACCCGAAGGCCCCAATTTGCCGTCCATTCCCAGTGTGTGGGGGGGTTCTGAGGAACATGGGAAAACACACACATACGAAGCCCGTGCCCCCCCCCCGCCCGAAATGCGGGCCTTCGGGTTGGGTTGGGGTGGTCTGGTAGGTCGTCACCGTGCGCCCCCCTTCCTCCCTCTGACTCTAGGCACAAGGCCGCGGGGTTCGAGCAGCAGGAGCCATGCGCAGGCCTCGAGCGTCACGACTTCAGGGGTGCCCTGGGTCGAAGAAGCATCTGTACACAGCGCTCGCGATCTTATTGCCATTCCGGGGCATGTGCGGGCGATTTTGGCTCGATTAATGCGCTCGTCGTGCGGGTATGCGCGCGGCATGTGCTCCGCATGTGCGGGGATGTTTTTCGATTTCGATGCGTTCTGATCTAGTGGCGTGTGCACATGTGCGGCCATGTGCGGGGGCATGTGCTGTGAGTTGTTCCTCCACTGTTCTGGTTCGACCCCCTCTCTTGAGCGTTGTCTGCGACTGGGCGCGCATGTGCGTGGCGTGCGCGGGAATCCTGTATGCAGTATGTATGAGCAGCGTTGCATACAGCGAGCGATGCAGTAGGTGCCTGCACCACAGCTGGTTGCCCTGGCGCTGCCCGCGCATGGCCGCAATATGGCGTGGCACATGCCCGCACATGGCACCGTTCGTGGCCGCGCGGCTGCACAGGGTCGCGCGCAGCCGCACATGCCCGCACACCTCCGCAGAGCAGGCCGCACATCCCCCCCTGTCCCCGCCCCGCACCTCCGCACATGGCCGCACACCCCGTAGCGGACGACCGCGAATCCCCGCACATGGCGCCGCTCGTGGCCACGAGGGGGGTGCGCGGCCTCGTGCGGCCGCACATGCTTGCACAGCGCCGCAATGGTGAGCATGAGGGGGAGGAGAAGCAGTAGTAGTAGTAGTAGTAGTAGTAGTAGTAGTAGTAGTAGTAGTAGTAGTAGTAGTAGTAGTAGTAGTAGTAGTAGTAGTAGTAGCAGCAGCAGTAGTGGTAGTAGTAGTAGTAGTAGGAGTACTAGTAGTAGTAGCATTAGTAGTCGTAGTAGTAGTAGTAGT